CAGAACACGCATCTTATTGGCAATCGCTCAGCTTCGGTACGTGCACTGGTGGTTTTTTTTTGTAACTATTCAAAAGAAGTAACCATAGAGACCGGCGGTCGCCAACCGGTGGTCCATGAGAAAATATTGTTGGCCGTACACAAATTTGAAAACCCAACAAATTGTAAAGAATCCAAAAGAAACGAAATTTGCTACCACTCGACGGCGCATCTGCAGTTTTTCAATTGAAATTTATTGGCATAAACCATGAAATGTGACATCCCTCTGAAACTGAAAAAAAGTGCAAACAAATTATCTAAAATATCCAAAACTGTCAAATCGATCTTCTTTTGAATTCATCACACAAAATCGCTAAACTCGAAAAATATAATTTACAAAAATATCGGTGAAATCAAACCGAAGAAGTAAATAGAGAATCAATAAAAACAACAAATGTACACAGAAACAAGTGATACCAATCCGACTGCTCTTCGATGCTCGGTTTCCGAGTGATAATACCAGTCACGATACTTTTCGATTGGCCCTCGTAAACTGTATAGTGGTCCGTAGAATTTGCGGTTACGGATATAGTGGTCGGTGAGGTCAATAAGATTGGCGACCGCTGATATACACGGTGGCGGCGCGGTGCTGTGCATTTTATATCCTAATTAAATTGCATATTTGCGCGGTTCGTGATGCATCATACGATATCTTAACGATTAAACGACAATAAAATGCGAGTACGCCGGCTTTAATAGTGCGGCGAGTAATTATAAATCGTGCCATTTCACTTGAATATATTGAACACTGTACGTGAAACATTTTCATAATCTCACGGGTATTCGCGTATAATAATATGTCACCGTCGATAGTTACAACACCATTTTGAAGAGATACCACGCATCCGAGGTTCAGATGCCGACAATCGCCGAGCGTGTTAAACACCCGAAAGAGCAAAAGTATTTTTATCACAAGAGATAAAATACATATGAAAACTACTCGGTATACCGAATAACAGACACGGTGTTTTTAAAACACGTACCGGAACACAATCGCAATGTCTCCCCGCCCGCGTATCCGGACTATTCGATGGCGGTACCGGCGGCGTTTACGAAAACACGGGCGGGCGGCGGTCGGGGATCCGGTAACGGCGCTCGCCGCCAATCGCAATCGTCTCGATCCGTCACCGTGTCGTATTATTGTACGCGAGAAGCAATTTGAAATATATTATCGAACGGAACGGAATAATAATCGTGTAATATAGTTATTATTATTATTATTATACGGGTATCGTCGGACATCCGCCGTCGTACCGTCCTGTATATTATTATTATTATTATTATTATATTATCGGGCGACGGGGATGGGGGGAGGAACAAAATAAAAAAAAACAAATACCATTAATTTCCACGTCGAATCGAAAGTCCGAGACTGCGATTATCCGCACACTGTTATAGTATCACCGTTTATAAGGGCGTCGGCGAAAGAGAGAGAGAACAAAAAAAAAAAAAAAAACCGACGAAATAATAATACATATTTCAGACGGATGTCGTGCGTTATCCGAGTGATTTATCTCGGTCGCGCGATAGTCGGTTCGCAGGTATACGTCACGCGTCACACACACAATATACCATAATATATTATTATTATTTCTACGAGTGTTTTCTTCTTTTTTTTTTTTCTATATTTCTCGAAACGCGAACGAAAATATAAGAACCGTTTGCGCGCGCGTATAAAATTAAACGACTCCGCAGCCCCGTGTAGGTGTATAATAATAATAATAATATATAGACGTTAAAGTTTCCGTTCTTACGCGGGATTATTCAAATGTACACGGTGGCGGCGCGAGACGGTATGTACCGCGTATACGAACCGCGAGACGGTATGCCCGCCTAAATGCGTGTATATTTGTTTTAAGTGTATTATCTTTATGGACGCAAAAAAAAAAAAAAAAAAAAAAAAAAAGGTATATACTATTATATATGAAAAAAAGTTTTCGAAAGTTTTTCCGGGCCGAATAGTATTTACGCGCGTATACAGGGTGTGCACCGAGATTTTCTCGGAGGATTTTATTAAGCCAACGCGTTATCTGTTTGTCGTTTCAATCGTCATTGTTAAATCGCCTATTTAAGGAACCGAGTTTAAACTTGTGAGAAGTGAAAATTTTAGGGGGGGGGGACAGTCTTAATTTTCATTAATAATCAAACACTTTAATTAATGTATATTACGTGCATTTTCAAAAAATTCATTGGTATTGTAATAAAATATTTATTTCACACTTGTATTAACTATAATTGATCACAAATTGCAAATTCGTTTTATTTTTCCCAAATTTATCAACGACTTTTTCTCATAAATTAAGTTCTTCGACAATTTCGGATAAATAATCCGGATAAATGGTTTTTTCTCATAAGATAACCGCAAGTCGGCTGTCCTCAATAAATATCCACAAATGGTCGGCTATAGTGATTGGCATCCAACTTTAAATCATAGGGCATACATCATTGTATATTATATTGGTGATAATAAATTAGCGGTAATCTATAATAAGTATACCTACTTACTAGGTTTCAATCAAGGTGTATTGATAAATTTTGAGATATTGAATTTGGATATAATTATTTTAACTTTCAGGAAAGCTAAAGTGGGAAGTTGTCCCTCTCTTCCCTCTCATGTGGGCACCCTTGTTTACCCGTACACGTATGTTAAATGAGTATATTATTACCTATAGACAATTTTCAAACAGCAACCCCCTCCCCTTTATTTCAAATACGGATTCGAATATTTCGATAGAAATGTCGACGCGCGTAACACGAGTAGTATCAAATTTATTATTCACAAGTTATCAATACAATAGCTAGTCGATCGTGCAACGGATTTGTATGTCGCTGATGCGTATTTTTTTTTTCTTTTTCACGCGTTTAAATTTCCATTAACCATTACCGGGCCCATGCCCGGATTAAGAAATTTAGATGCCCTGGGGCTAAACTTTTCAACGAGGCTTTCGTTGAAAGACTAATAATAACGTACATTTTTTAAAAATGTTTACTACCTAATCAATATACATAAATAATATAGACATCATAAAGATATCAATTTAAAAACCACAAATATTATTTAAATAAATAAGTATATTGTTTTTTAACAGTGACTAATGGCTTCTATTAACTATGAATACGAATAAGTCATCAATGGGCTACGAAAAAAATATTAAAATATCTATGTACCTACGCATAGTTAATGGTTAAATGCATAAATAAATAACATACTGCGGCAAAAACTGAGGCCCTGAGAGTCTGGTGGCCCGCGGGCCTGAACCCTCCCCTTATCCGGGCTTGACCGTACCAATAGACGCTTTATTTAGCATATTTTTGCGTATTTTCGCGCTTCGATGAAAACCATGCGCTGTCATGAAACAATATAAAAATCATCACCACGACAATACTTAATTTCAGAAGAGATTTTTCAAGAAATAATCCGTAATAATAAAACACTTAGTTAACGCTTTATTTATATAAAACTATATTACTATATTACTCATATGTTATTAAATATGTATGATTTGTTTTCGATTCTTTTTTTCTTTTGCAATCCTTTTGTATATTCTTATGTCTTGAATTTTCAAACATTTTTATTTTGTTTTTTTTACTGCATATATTTTCGTCAATTTTTAGTGTTTGTATAAATCCGCGCTTCATTACGTAAGTTATGACAGTTTAAAATTAAGACCTGACAGTGATTATTGACCTCTGTGGTATTTGACCGCGGAGTGGGGGATGATATTCTCCCGCTTGGTAAAATATTAGTGATTAGACATTCACTCCCCATTTTTCTAGTGGATTTTTATCAGGCGAAAGAAGGTGTAAAGAGTATCACGGGGGAGTCAATTTTCGAAGTAACAACATAGCCTATGTGGGGAAGGGTTTAAACTTCATACCGGTTTTGAGATAATACACATTGACAACCGTTCTATTTCTATTCGGTATCGCAGTGTATACTTTGATAAATTTATGGTGGGGGAGGGGGTAGGAAAATAAATAAATTTCACTTAAAACCGCCGGGTAGGGATAACATAATTATCCTGTATACAAGAAATTATATTATACCTATAATTACTGTGTGTGTGTGTGTGTGTGTGTGTGTGTGTGTGTATGTATTTTTGTTCGGTCTGTTATTTTCGCCTATCGCGCGTCAGACGCGTAAAAAGTAAAAGAAAAATAAATATATTATATACAAACACAATATACCTACAGTAGAGGTTCGAGTTGTATACATATATATATATATATATATATATATATATAAATAAATAAGTAAACTAAAAAACAAAAAGAAGAAAACCAAGACGTCGTCGTCGTCGTCGGCTGAGAAAAGAACACATGCGTGTCGGTGCGGCCTTTACCGTACATACCTATAATAATACAGTGGGTACGGGCAAAGGATAATAATATATATATAAAGGAATATTGAACGAAAAACGGATTATGCCTTATACACACACTGTAGTGCCACACTGTGTATTTATTCAACGGAAAAAAAAATAAATAATAATAATAATAATAATAATAATAATAATAATACTACCTTAGGTGGTGCGGTGGCGAAACCTATTTGGTTTATTTTTCTTATCCGAAATCTTATTCGGGTGTGTGCGGAATGTCATTTTCCTTATACATATATAGGTACTCGTATATATTTAAGTTCGATACACACACACACATACACGCACACGTGCACGTGTGTGCTCGCGCGCGGACATATTATATATTTTATTTATTTTAATATATCTATACGTATACAGGTAGAGTGTATACGTACGCCGAGACGTAATCCCGAAGACGGCCGCGGGTAGAGAGCGGTACAATCGTCGTCGTCGTCGTCGTCCGGAGTCGTTTATATTAAACCGTTTATGTCGCGACGCGCCCGGGCGAAGAAAATGTGATTTATACGCGCGTGCGTGCGTGCGTATTTCGGGTCGAAATCGCGTGTGATGGAAAAACGACAAGGGGTGGGAAAAAAAAATGAAAATAAAACCTCCGACGAAAATCACCGTCGTCGTCGTCGTTGCCGCCGTCGGTATACCGTATTGTAACGGAGGAGCTCGCCCTCCGCCCTCTGTTTCCTCGTGTTTTTTATTATTATTATTTTTTTTTTTTTTTTTTTTTTTTTTTTTTTAATCAGCTTATAATTCCAGACGGATTTCCCGACACGCTATACCACATGCCACCCGAAAAGTTAAATTATATCGTTTTCGCGACAAACGAAATAATAATAATAATAATGTAATTGGCAAAACGCAACGTACCCGAAACCTAACCCAACTTATAGTGTGCAGTGCGTATCGCGGTCACACGACTACGTGGACGAGTGGGAATGGGGTACACCATCACTGCCTTCCCATATTGTGGATACTATTGCTTCACCAGTCCCCTATTCATTCAATATTCGATCAATTATTTAAACAAGTCATAAAATAAAACACATTTATAACATTTATTATACTACAATACAGCATTTTTGATTGATAAAAAAAAACCACGGGTTGGCCACTGCTGTAGGTGGTCAGTTGAAAATGTCGGATATATAATAGCGCAGATAATTTAGTTTATTATATAGTGTACGAAACGATAAATCACTGAAAACGAAAAACGATTCCGAACGGTGCGTGGTGTAGTACTTATTGGTTGTGTGCGTTTTTTTCCTTATTGTCAAAATAATCTAGAAATCGACAGAAATAATAAAAAAAAATGTTTATAACAGGAGAAGAAAATTTCGATAAATGTTTCGAATAAAGTACTTTTAGGTGAAAAATCCGCATCGTTTTCCGAGGCAATATGAAGTAAAGGAAGTGCAAAAAGAATAACGTCAACGATCAGTTTAAATCCGACCGGGAAAGAGATCAAAAGACCAAGGAAGCGATAAAGGGATATTGGGTATAGTCGTAATACAGAATACATGGATCAGTTGGGTATAGAGAATTGTGAATGGGTTTTGAACAATAACTGAAAAGGCTCTTGGTGAGCCGTAAAGCTAAAGAAGAAAAACAAGACAAGAATTAAAAAAAAAAAAAAAAAAAAAAAAAAAAAAAAAAAAAAAAAAAAAAAAAAAAAAAAGAGAGCAAAAAACAAATCGAAAATACTATACCGAAAACATTCCTAACCTAACCTTTTCGATTAGAGCTTCTGGTCGAAACCACGTGTTACCAGAGTTAAGTGTGTTAATTTACTTATACTGCGACTTTCAACTGTAGACACATTTCCGGGCGTAGAGGAATTTTGATTTTTTTTTTTTTTTCAAAACATACGGTCATTTTTAAACCAACCAGTGGCTGTTGAAAATTGTGTGTTTCATACATTATTATATATGTTTCGTGACGTCCCGACCTTTTCTTTTATATTACGCGAAGCACAGGTATTGAAGTGTTCGTAAAGTGCACTCGCGTGACACTATGCGACTTTTTATATATACTATTACGTATATTGCGATTATTTAATGGTTATATACACAATGACGGAATAATATTATATTCTACACAAAACGCCCATGTGATGATGAGAGACCTACGATCGATTTTCATAACCATTATTTAGCGACGGTTTTTGCAGTGTTTTTAATTTTCAGAAAACTGCAGCACTCGTCGAGACTAAAAATACTCTGAAATTTTTTTTTTCTACTCAATTTTAAATTTACAACGTCGTTTTTTTGAATAAACACCATATAAAAAAATTCGAAAAATCCTAGAAAATATGAACTAACAATATGTTGGAGAAATTGGACATCTGAGAAAATAGATGACTCTATCCTTCAACGTCAAATACTTATTGATACGGTCATATTGTAAGAAGAGATGGTCTAGAAAAATTGTTAGAATTATTCAAGGAAATGCATAAGGCAAAAGAAATCGTAGACGTCCTCCGAACCGATTTATTGACCAAACCGAAGGTCTAACAGGGTCAGTGGCAAAAATCACATGAAACATAAAGACTGAAAAGCTTCGAAAAATTGCATAAAAAATTACAAGATTATAGTAAATAGTTAACTACGGACTAAAACTAATCAACTAATTAAGATCATAATTTTAAACCGATGGTAGTTAAATTACTCAATGTTAAATATCTATACTATTTTATCGGCACAATATTTAACAGTAAGTTTTACTTACGATAGTAAGACTTTTTTCAAGATAAATTCTACAATTTACTTTGGTACACTTTACCGAAGAGCAAACTACAGCGTGGAACGGCTTCTCTATAAATTACGTACATTATCTCTATGATCTGTACGAATTTAATGCCTACGAATTAACAACCCTGGATTAATGCTGGACAAGATATCGATTTTTCTACTTCAAAATTTCCCCCCTGTCCGACGTAGCTTATGCCTTTTACCCTTACTTGTATGTACACCCGACGTGCAGGTTTTTCAATCACTAAAGAATTTAGGTTTACAGGACATAATCATTAATAACTTCCTTGGAGCAGTACCAGCTGTAGGTCTGGAGCTCAGACGAGATTTTATTTTTCTAAGTTGCTATGTTTGGATATCGAATTTTCGGCCGTTTTATATTACTTTTTCTCATTATCGCCCAGGGGAGAAGCGACCGTATGCTGTCGGTTTTCGGTTTATCGTCCGTATAAAACGATATAATAATATCCGTAAACGACCAACTACGAAATTCGCGGGTTCGCGTCTGCAAAATCGTCTGTACAACTATAGCCGGACGAGTGCGTTTAAAAATACGACGACGACGACAACGACGACGTTATATTATTATCGCACTGTGGTGAAATATAGAGTTAATTAGGAATTTAGCGATGTCGCGTGTAATGAAAATAGCAACGCGACCTCGTATATCATTCTGTCTCGTGAAATCGATATACACTGCACCGTCGTCGCCGTCGCTCGTATAATATAATATTATATATTATTATTATACTCGAAAATACACGAGCTAGGGAAGTCGAAACTATTATAATAGGTGACCTGTAAGCGCGGGGGAGGAGCTTGGGGGAAGAGATTCATATCCAGTGACGGGGTCGAAATTACTGCGAATCGCCTTCCGAAACTTATTGCCAAAGTCGGCCAAATTAACTTGACTATAATAATAATATAGTCAACACACGACGAGCAAAAAACTTGTTTTTTGTAAAGTCAGTCAAGGAAAATCCAAGTGAACTCCCCGCGGCTGCGTGGTTAAACTATCTGAAAGTAGGGGAAAAAAATAGAAATCGATAAAAAAAAAAAAAAGGAAACTGATACTGGTAATAATTGAAAGGGTAAATGCGTGTATAGAGTAATTTTATTTAGATCTGAATGCAACGATTAACCATTGCTAACGGAAAACATTTCTGAACGGAGTATTATTTGTCCTATTTTTCCCTTGTTGCCAAAGTAACACAAAAATCAACAAAAAATGAATAAACAATGGCCAGTTTTACCCATTTGTTAAGAAAACTACAAGGAAAAAAAAAATCACTTCTTTATAATGCACCAACTTACTATAGATCGAAAATGCTACAAAACATTTTTAAACAATTTTTGATAGGAACAGTTTTGCCGGAAAAATTTGTTACACACAAAAAATAAAAAAAAAAAAAACACAAATAAAAATAAAACCTATACAATTCCCGATTCGCTCAGAATTTAAAATTTCACTCTGTTGCCCGGTTATTTATTTATCCCAATTTTCTATATCAGACAAGATTATCTCCTAGATGTAACAAGCGATAATTTTCAATATGGGATTTTCACCATCTCCCCTCCCTAGATGTGTTTTAACCCCGGGGAAGTATTAGTTGGCAAAAAAAAAGTTAAACAAATTTATAGTCGAATCCCGTCAAAGTGCAGTTGACCGTGATAGCTAATAATTAAATAACACCAACGGCTGATGTGTCTATGTAATATTAAATTTGTCTTTTCCCCTACATAAATCTATGAAAATAAATTTGAAAAACCTCGAAATTCAAACGCTGAGCTCCTCGCGCTTCTTTAAAAAATAGGAAAAATTTTAAATAATAATAAAAAACAACGCTAAATCGTCCTAAATAATAATAATAATAATAGAAACGTGCCTCAACGAACTCATCGTCAAACGTATATTCCTAGAATGCCCCAACTACCAGAACGCTCGAACGAAATCAAACTTAAACACAAGCTCACTCAAAGAAGCATTCAACTATGGAGAAGAAAAAAGAATATTAGACTTCATCAAGATAGCCGATCTCGCATCGAACATCTAAAACAATGGAGCACATATATATATAAACTAATTTTTTTAACCACTGTAGGCTAATAAATGATATATTTGAAGCTTTAAATAAATAAAAAAACAAAAATAATAATAATAATAAGAGTTTTTTTTATTTTTTTGCAGAGCTATTGGAATTCGACACGCCGGCCGAGCAGACAACGGACGAGTACAAAGACTACTTCATAAAGTGTAAGGTGAAGGGCAACGCGATGCCGACATTCATGTGGTCGTACAAAAATCAGACGATTAAAGATAAAACGAAAAGTAAGTATAAAATTATTAGTATCCATTATTCTGGTGTGCACCGGGCGAGAAAATTAATGTGTATCGAATTCGTCAACGATTTACTATTTACTCATTTGCTATTTATATACTGGAAGCGAACAAAATCGGCGAGTAATATTCACAATTTCGATTTTCTCCTAGATTAGATTTTTTCTACCGTATTACAATAATTGCCCATGTGTGTAACATTTTGATAAATGTAATTTTTTTCATTTTTCTCGTAAAGTTTCACTGGTTCGAGTCGCTCGCTTGTACAAAATGTCGTATAATATCGAAAACTAATTGACCTATTCGAAACTGTAAACGCATTTATCAAAATTGTATAGCAACACCTATACCGATTTTTCGTAAAAAAATGATCGCTGTATAGTGATATTTACTCGTTTCGTAGTAAGGGACAAGGGTTTAGCGTAGGTAGTTATTTTTATTATTAATACCGTGGTATACGCATAACAGACAAATAGTGTCGATATCAACATCATCCTTGGTGGTTTCTGGTAGAAAATGTTATCTAGTTGATGCACTGTAGATGTTATTTTTATAATTTCAATTACGATTGAACAAAACTGGGAAAATGTACGCAACGATGGTTTTTTTGTTCTGATTACAAAAAGACCACGGAGATTCGAAATTTTCACCGGCCACTTACATCAGCGATCTCTAAACGTTTCGGTACAATTTTCGATCTGTTTATAAAACCATTTTAAAATAACTAATTTTTTTTTTTATATATACATGTATATAAATTGTCTATAAAATTATTTCGGCACGGCGAGTTCTCAAAAATTTAACCCGAGGTTCATCGCGATTCGCGTTGATAACGGTACGCGGTAATAATTTTAAATTCTAATATACGTGTGTGTGTGTGTATTATTTTATATTGATAAAACGTTTGTTTTACTGTCAGCAGGTGAAAAGTATTCGGTTGAAGAAGGCGGACTATTGGTACGAAACGTGACGCACTTGGACGCCGGTAAATACACGTGCAGGGCGTTCGAGACCACCAGCAAGTCGAGCGTTTCGGGCGAGAAGGAAATCAACTTGAAAGTCAGACGTGAGTGTGAATTCACATCTTCGATATACTAAATGAAAACGTTACTATATATTGTATCTGTACAAAAAAAAAAAAAAACCAATAACTGACGCGTTTTTACGATAAAATCATTTCATAGTAGAAAACCTCCGAAGCGACGTTCACGCGAAAATCTCGCTGTCTATATACGAAATCATTGTATTTCGATCGTGTGTACCGGATAAAGTCGAACGCGTGTAGTTATGCGTGCTGGGTTCGGTAAACGTAAAAACTAAACAAATAGCATAATAAACACGGTCTGTGATAGCGATGCCAATCGAATTATTTTTTCATACGGCTGTAAACATATTTTCGGTTAGTGGAAATCTCCCAAAACATTCACACCGAACATATAACCTATTTAAATAAAGATGCGGATTTTCCGCCTAGGGGCATACTTTAGGGGCATACAGGGTAACGAATTGCATTCAGAAGCCATGTTTGATTTAAAATAAACATAATAATATATTGTATTTTAATTGGCTTCTCCTTAAACAGTAATACACCGGGAGCACATATATGAGGATTTAGTTAGACGGTAGCTAAACAATAGAAAGTCTTCCCTGACCCGAACACTGAAAAATAGAAAGACTATAAACATAAACATTGGCGAGTTAAAAAGTTAATAGTCAGGTTGATTTTAAATTTCAACTTAGTATTTTTGTTTTTTATTTTTTACATTACAACTGAACAATAGCAGTCTTTACACTGTATTTGAATATACGTAATAAACCGTTGTATAAATAATTCGTTCTTTTTTCTTTTTTTTTACTCAAAAATGTGTGTGAATTTAAAAGTTTAATTTAGACAAAAAATAAAATAGAAAATAATATATATACACATCATTATATAACGTGATTAATTAAAAAATCCATTAAATTTTAAAATTAACTTTCAACTTAACTCGGATAATGTTAGTAAAACAATCAACTTTTATCGTGTTTACTCGTAAATTTTTCTTCAGTCAACTTGACTTAAACGCCGTGTTAATATTTGATATTATTCACGATAACTCACCGATATAACTTTTGAAATTGCACACGGAATAAAAAGTGAAGGTTAACAGTGATTTTTATCACCAAATTTCTGTGCTAGTTATAAATAATATATAGCTGATAAAATCGCTGGCAGTGACCGCCATTACAGAGTTGCCATCGCTACACAAGCGTCATTTGGAACAAAATCATTAGGTAACAAGCATTTTGAATAATATTTTAAATTCAGTTGTGTTCAAATGAAAATAGGGAGCAGTCGACAGTTACCGTAGTCAATCGTTTATCAGAACTATATAGAAATAAATGGAATAAATTTAAACATGTATAAGTTATCAGTTGTGTGATCTTTATGCGTTCAAATGCAATACAATCGATACTACAATATTGTATTATCGCGATCGTGTTCGGAACAGTGCAACACAATTTTATTTCTCTTAGAATTATTCATAGGGTAGCGTAGCTGTATTAATAGCTATAATAAATTAATATTATTGCAACTCCGATAAAATGGCCGGGTAGCAGTTGCCTTCCCTTGATACCAAGCCCGGATTTAGAGAGGCCATATGTCCAAACTTTTCTACGAGGCCCCCAAAAAGAATAATAAAAACAATGTATACTAGTTATGTTTTAACAAAATAAAAACAATAAATAATAATCCTAAATAATATTATAAATGTGAAAGTAAATCTGTCTGTTACGTTTTCACGTCTAAACCGTTGAACTAAATTTGATGAATTTTGGTATAGAGATAGATGGAACCTTGGAGAAAATTCTAGGTTACTTGTTGTTGTGAAAAATAAAACTTAAAGGGGATCTTTCATCCAAAATTTGAAACAAACAAATAAATAATGAACAGAAATAAAAATGCCATAACAACTTTAACGACTTGAGATAAAGTCTATGTATCTGTTTGCCGGTCTATTATTGGTTTGAATTCGGATGGGCTACCCTTGGTAACACGGACGAAGAAAAACAAAAACCTAGGCGCTGTCTGATTAATGTTTAAATAATGTTGTCATAATTTAATCCCTGTGCTGTGCGGGTATCTATGGTAACACGGGCGAAAAAATGTAAGACACAATAGAACACTTTTAGTTCCACATATTTTTTTTTTTTTCAATTTACTGGTATACTAAAATACGGGGAAAAAAGAAAAACAAATAAAAAATTGGCTAGGACAATGCCAGGCGCGTGACAGTTAGTAAGCATATACATTTGGTGATTTCTATTAAAGGCTATCAACGATATAAAGTCATTAAAAACAATGAAATATTAAAAAAAACACAAAGTCGATGATTAAACGCACAGATAAAGAACGTAATATCGTTCTGAGGCGAAAATTGAGGAGAATTTGAGGAATCTTGTGGCTCGGGAGCCGCGGTCCTCCCTGGACATTTTCTTATTCCGGGCTCGCTCGCTACCCCGCAATGACGCCTACGGTACCGCGGGGTCATTCACTAGTGGCATCACTGCCCGCTGATATCTATAGATTATATTTGTTGTTATTTGTTATATTTACCATTTGTTATATGCTCTGTAGTGCCGCGATCTGCCCCCGGAGGTATTCGAAGGGCTAAACGAGTTATTATCGGCCGTCGAACGGCGAAGAAACAATAATTTTAAAAACGTCAACAATATAATAATATTATATAGTAATGAAAATATAAAATCGCCCGTATCGCTCGGTACCACCACTACGGTCGTGTATATAACAACACTGCGCCTTTAAAAAGCTCTCGTATTTATCCGATCGGATATAATATACTTATTTTGATTTTTCGAGTACCCGCGTTTCGTTTCAAATATACGCGAATACCTATGCGTACGTAAGGTACGGGAACATAAAATAATAATAATAATAAAAAAAATGTTCGGTGTCGGAAAAAAGACGTATTGAATAAATATTTATATACGATTTCGGGGATTCGAGTCCGCGGGATCGGGTGGGGTGAGATGAGGGATGAGAGTTGATCGTATAAATATCGGATCGAATTTTTATATGCGTATAGGTTGCGTTATCACGCGGACCGGATAATAACAATAACAAAACAAAAAAAACAAAATATTTTTTATTATTGTATTTTTTTTTTTTTTTTGCATACACATCTTAATTTACGTAGATGCGATATTATGTTATTATATCTTCTGGTCCATAGTTAGAAGGACTTAAGTCAATTTCGTATAGTTTTTAATGCAAGATAGTTAAATTTTGAAAATCATGTATAAGTCATGTTATATTATACGACATTCCGACTTACGTGTGTCTTTTTCTACCAAACAAAAAATATATCTCGTGGCAAATCGAAATGTTTAAATTTTCTGTATAAACGCGATAGAATAGACATATGCTATGTCACGTAGACCGAAAAATAAAGTAAAACATACGAGTATTACACATCGTCGGAATACTTCGTTTTTAAACGGCCACCATTCAAGTCGGGGCTCACGATTTCCTGCGGGTATATAAAGTACACGGACACGCGTGTGCTTAATAATTAACGGTTATTCGGGTGTAAAAAATATCTGGTTATGTTGAAAATATACAAAGTATACATGTGTATAATAACACACTCGGGGATGAGATATTATTTTTATAATTTTTCAATCTTGATAATATTAACTGCCCCCCGCCCCGCATATCTTTACTCTGAAACCGTGCTTGAATACACGTTTATTATTACATGCACGTGTACTATTAAATACATGGATTTTATAACTACACGTCTACCTGTAGTTTTAAGTCGCATAAAATCGTAAACCCTAGTTCAGAAGAAGCAAAAAAAAGTTTCCGTCTCAAAGGTCCTAACTCCAGAATGACAACATTATATAATATGGAAATTTGATGGAGATAAAACTTTTTCATCAACGTGGTAATTTCCCCGTACTATTATCAGCATTTTTACAGAATAATACTTTTTTTCTTATTTTTTGAGTTACCGTGTTTTTATAAACGTCGCGTCATCGTTGATATAAGTTAAAAATATCATAACCACGAAATTGCATTTTTAAAGTTACATTTATTACAAATTAGACCGACGAAATTGGGGAAAAGGTCGATTAGATCCTCACCGTTCATTAGATCGGCTCTTTTAGATTCTGAACGGAGCAATGAATGTATTGGTTTTATTTTTTTATATGAACAACTTTTCTACCATTTCGCTGCGGTTTTCTCAAGTGTAACACTTTTTCTGAAAGGATTTCTGACTGGGGCGGTACTTTAGAGAGATCATTTTTTTTTTATTTTCCAAGCAATTTTCAAAATAATTGGGAAAAACCGAGAAAATGTACGAAATGTATCATTTCCAAATCGTTAATGTTACAAACTTTCAAAACCTAACCGGACCCCGCTCAGAATCCCTTTTGTTTAACAATGGTTAATCGTTGCGCGTACAGATGTACATTCGATTTCCCATCTACCTTCCCGACTACTTCTCATCTACAACAGTGGCCCGCCCATAGTGCGAAGCATGCAGCGTTTTGTTCGGTTCGCGTTAAAATATTCATTCCGAATATTATACTTTTTAATCGGTATTTTACCCCCGAAAAAAAAAAAATCTATCGGTGGGTCGTGCCCGATATGTATAGATAATAAAGTTCGTTTCACTATCGCGTTGAATTCGAATTGGTACGGATTTCATCCGATATACATACGCGGCGGCGTTTGGACTTCAACGGCTGTCGTATTATTACATTACACTCGCGGAAAAGTACCTATACGTATTATAACGCACACCACCCAAAACCGGAGTCGTTGATATTTTATAATATAATATCATATACGAGTACGAGAACACCGCCGACACAAAGCTCGAGTGCTCGCGGTTATTTTATTATTAACAAGACCGCGGATTCACTTCGCGCAACATACCCGTACACCCGCGCACGCACACACACCAACACACACGCACGCACGCACGCACGCTCACCAACACAAACACCCACACACACACACGCACGCTCACCAACACAAACACCCACACACACACACACACACACACATCACGCGACAATATTTGTCACGTCGTGTTACATAATATACACGTAGTTGTATTATTTGTCTTTACATTCGTATGCCATTCATATATTGTATTATATTGTTTCGCGCGGTGCCGGCATTAAATTCATTAAATCGCCGGGTATTAAATTATTATCATCATTCAGCCGCGTCTTTACGCACCTAATATCCTACGCTCGGCGGCCGCGCCGGCGGTATTATTGTCGTATCATCACGCAATGTCGTTTCGTACGAGACGCACACCGATTATGCCTGTATGTTTTTCAAAAACTTTTTTTAAAAAAAAGAGTAAAATAGATTTTAAAACCAGTCGGAATACAATATTGAATACTTAAAAAAAAAATTTTAATATTCAGAATACCATCAACGATATCTGCAAAAATATTAAGAATAAACAATAATTGTATTATAGTTACGTATAGGCCGGAGAATATTTTCGATGTAGAATATAATAAATAAATAATAAAAAATAAATAATAAAATATAAAGCAACTCGATATTTTATGTATTTGCATACCGTAGTTAATTGTACACACATTAGAAATTAATTATTAAGTCACGTTAGACGTGCGCCAAATTCCGATTCAATGTTATCGCCTACTTTTAGCATTTTTATTTTTAGGACAGGTATTGTAAATAATCAAAATGATCTTTATTATTATTATTTTTTTTTTATTTTTTTTTTTTTTTTTTTTTGGGTTTATATCTAGATAAAAAGTTTCTAAATGTTACGTTTTTATCCGCATGTTTTAAAAAATACGATTCCACACGGCTGCTGCCGTATTATAACAGCATGTAATAACATTGTACTACCTACGGATAACTCGCAAACAAGAACATCGTGAGAATAACGAAACGCGTCGCGTGTATCGATTGAATAAATTATTTGAACATTCGCCGATGTATGACGTGTCTGATAATTTTATAATCATGATACATCACTATTATTCGATTGACGTACCGCGATTCGTTTAATAAATGTTTATGTGATTTTTATTATTATTATTTTTTTTTTTTGATCAAACACAGACAAGCCGGTGTTTAAGACCCACATGGAAGGCGATCCGGTAGAGATGTACGTTTTTAAATCGGATTCGATAAGTCTGAACTGCCGCAATTCCGCAGAACCGCCGGCCAACATGACGTGGAGTTTCGAGGACGCGAGCTTCCTCAATCCGTACGAAGACTACATGGTACGTACCTATTCCCTCTACATTACATAAAACCGAAGTTTATTTCTAAATATTGTACACGAATGAATTACGAATTGCCGAGTGCGTAAAACAGCGTTCTACGGTATAGTCTATTATTGCCATAGGAATAAAACTGGGAGTTTTTATTTCAAAAATTCGAACGTTTTAATTTTGCACAACCTCTAAAAGAGTTATTTTTTTTTTTTTTATAATTTTGTTTACTCAAATATGAACCTAACTATTATGTAGTCTTGGATGCCGAAATATTTTGGTAGGGTGACGGGAACGATAAAAGAGCCACTAAAAGCCCTTCAGTAAAACATTCCGTTCCGTAAATACTCTTTTGGGGATTGCATCCTGTACTTTCACGTAATACATTATTAAATCATTATTCAATTTTAATTTCTTTTAAATTAAATACGGGGTGATTTTTTTTTTTTTCTTAAGTTCAGTATTTGTATTAAACCCATTTTCGGAAAATCGTTAAATCCTTAAATAAATATTAGAATTATACCAGAATAAGTCAGGTACACATAAAGTTATTTTATAGCGAATATACTTTAAGTTCGAAGTAAAAATAAACAATACGGTATAATTGCTATTTGAACACCTGCTTAATTTTAAAACGTATATTTACCAAACAGGGATGTATTTTCGTATTTTATTTTTATTATTATTCATCCCCGTACAGGTAACGTTCACTGAAGTTAAAAAGTTGGGATTGTACTCGTGTACGGCCAGGAATACTTTAGGCAAAGTCACCAGACGGTTTCGGTTGATCGAAGGGTTCAAACCGAAAACGCCCAGCGGCCTGGCCGTGGGAGAAATAGGAGAAAACTTCATCAAGCTGAAAGTGGACGCCGGCGACCCAGCCGACAATTTGATTGGCTACCGTGTGGAGTACGTGACCAAAGCCGTGGAACCGGGCACCCGAAAGACTTACGAAAGTTTCGACATGATAAACTTCAATACTACCACGGGTACGTGTAACGTCCTCTTTCTCTGTGTATGTATATATACCTATACCTATACCTCCCGCCCTCAAAGTTCGCTAGGGAAGTTATTACCTATATATAAGTATAATACGTACGTTAATACCGTCGTTTCCGTACCTGCTCCATAATAATATATACTTACCTATTCCGATACGGGCCAAAAACACACGCGAACTTCATCCCCACCTCCCTTTTCCTCGCCCAGTCCGTCAAAGTATTCAAGGTTTCCCCGCGTGATATATTATTACGCTTGGACATTTTTAGCCACTGTTACCGTTGCGATTATTTTGTCGAAACTGTGCATTTTTTTTTCCACGACGAAGCTTGCGGAATTCAATTCATTACGTTTCAAGTCAAATCCTGCAGAGTTTTTTCGTGGCTCACAGGTCACTGGTTAAAATCGAATTCGTGATGACCGGAACAATATTTGTGCGATAAATATCAGCACAATTATCATCGTTCATATTTGGCAGTTTTTATTCTGTTTTTTTATTCTGTGGGAAGGGGGGGGGGAATCGGGAGAATTATTAAAGATTATTTTTGATTGATTTTATTAATCAAGTCGATAGGGAGAACAAACTTTCATTTCCTCCTACACACGATATAAAGGCCTTGAATCTTGATATTAATCTACGCAACGAAACCAAGAGTATTGATAACTAAAAAATCAATGTAAAAGCTGAGTGATAATTTAAAAATATTATTCTTATTTAAATCCGTGTTGTGACGTCAGCCCGTAATGGTGGGAGGCATTATTCGTTGTTTGTAATATATTATTATGTCACGTCCATTTAGTGAAATCGTTCTTCTGTATAAAGTGCACTTCACGAAAAGTTTCCATATCGCGTGAACAATACACTTTTTACACGATATGGAGGATGATTATTTGTGTTCGCGAAACGAACATTTTATGAAATACAATTTTTTTTTTTCACTCAATGCGAGTGGCTTTTCGTGAAATGGATGTTTTTTTTTTTTCTAACTATTTGAAGGTTTCTTCACGATTTATGTCTCCATCAATATAGTGTATATACAGACAGATATTTCACTGAGGGGTGATTCAATCCCAAAAACCTACCCTTGTACACACGCATAGTCTCCGTATCGAGGAATGTTTTGTATTCATATTGTTATGTCTAAATACTGAGAGTGTAAATTATTTTCTTAATTAGTGTTTATTATGCTACAATCGGAATTTTATTTAAAGTCGTTTTAAAAATGCATACAATATTTTTGAATGGTTCTCGGATCATTTTAACAATTTTAACGTTTTAGGTTTTTAGCTTCCTTAACTAGGGCTGTGAATTTGTAGGAAAGTGCATTTTTTTTTTAAGCTAATTGTGAAAAATAGCTATCCAAATACATAGTTTGAATTATGTAACAACAAATTTGTGAAACTTTTATTTTGCATTTTTTGACGCTTTTAATTCTTTAAATCATTTGTTGGCCTTTTTAGGTCATATTTTTCTTCTAAATTTATTTTTCGTCAATTAATATCTTCGCAAGCATATTTTTTGTTTTGCACAGGCTGTATATATGTTAAATGTATATTTTATAAAAAAAAACATATTTTACACAAGCAGTATACGAGTTGGGTAAAGATAAGGATTCGATAAAATAAGGAAATTGCAAGATTAGTTTTTTTGAGCCTGTAGAATTGTTGACATCATTTTTAAGGTTTTCCACTGCATTGAATTTGCAGCCCTATTTATTATATAACACTATCACGAGATATCTGAAGGTATCTGAGTAAGATACCTGGTATCCCATAAATATGGCCAGAGTAAAAAATATTTGAACATTTAAATATTTAAAATTTACCATGGTTAAATTTCGATATACTCGTGGTACCCGGGGCTGATCATTGCTCGATAAAATTAATAATTACACTTGTACATTGACGAGATATTTTACTTTTAAGTTTGTTAGTATGTCAGTGTGGGGAGAGCATTAAATGCCACCACACAAACTATGTCCCACTACTCTCCCCTACCCAAAATTAAAAATACAGCGCCAAAATGTATACTGATAATACTTCGTATATTAATGAAATTATTTGTATAGGTTACCATTTAAATAAAAATCAAAAGTAAACGGACCTTTAACACCCAAAAAAATAAATAATGTTTGATTTTGGAGCTACTTTTTTTCACTCTCTACTTGAATTACTATATATGAGAAACATATGACTTCTCGTCCATTTAGTTATTGACAAAACAACAACAATTGCGGCGGACAATATTATAATTATTCTTATTTCATGACGGACACGTTCCGCGTGGTTTTATGTTGTAGGTCCTTTCGCGCTCGAGAACCTCATGCCCGACACCGAGTACATGACGAAAATTCTGGCCAGGAACCGGGCTGGCAACAGCAACTACACCGATACGATGGTCGTCCGGACGAAACCGTTGGTGGTCATCACCGGAGCCGCGCAACCGTCCTCGGGAGGACTCGTCCTGCACCGGTTCCTCCTCCTGTCCGCGGCCGCGTACGTCATCGCCTCGCTCCTCGGACAGTAGATTTCGCCGTCATCCGTATCACATCCATAAACATGATAACAATATTTACTACAATAACATTAAATAGACCAGGAATGATGGCGAAATCGGGTATACGCACGATCTCACGAGGCCAACACACTATTTATATTTATATTATTACTATTATTATTATTATTATTATTAATTATATGCGTGGGAGAATCAATGCGACCGCGGCACTGCGGTTATTTCACGGCAGAGAAAATATTCGTAATACAATTATTTTTTCCACGATCGTTTATTATGACGTATTTTGTACTAATAATGGACGCGGCACATTTAGTTGCGTCGGAGAGCGAGAAAGACGATCGAAATTGTGTTTCCCGAGTAAGGAATTCTCGTGGAAGAATATTTATAACGTTTATTTTTGAGAAAAAAAAAACACAAGTATTATTTTCTATCTTCTATTATTTTATATATATATATATGTACTCGACGATTCATTTTTACTTCTTTCGGCCCACTATTCGTTTATAATCCGTCTATTTGTCCGTAATACGCGTTTTGCCATAGTTATGATAATAATATCACCACTTAACGTTACACTAATATTATAACCTGCGTATTATCGCCGCAGTACACTGTCTACCCGCTACTATACCGATTCGACAATATCGCGAGTGACTCGACGATTTCATAACGCAATTAAAAGATCATTCCTGGTCTATTTATAATAATAATTATCCATGTCTATGTTATCTACATACATAATACGGATCACGCCGTCATAGATCTATATGTATAATAACGATTATAATATTATATACCAGCTTTTTACACGTAATGATCTATATTATATCTATACAACGCTCGCATCCATACCGCAGACGCATCCCCCGTCGTCCGGGGTGTCCGAACGCCATTGTCCGCCCGCCATTCGCTCCGCCGGTTTCCGCCGACTGTCGTTTTCATTTTTCCCGATATACACGACAAAGGCACAATAATATTATCCTTGGTTCTTTTTCGAACAAATATAACACAATGACGGCGGCTGTGCGTCGTCGTCAACAATACACACAAACACTCAACCCTCTCCTCCCTCCTCCCCTCCGAAAACTATACTTTTATATACACACACACACACACACACATATTGAAACTCGCGTTCGTAATATATAGATGACACACGACTTACGTATATGTATTATAGGTGTATACGTCATAATATTATTATTATTATTATTATTATTACATAGTTGTAGAAAAGGACACTGTTCGGCTTTTGACGCAGTTCGTTTGTCGTGGTGTTCAATATTATTATATTATTATTATATATAAAGCGAGCACAATAATATCGTCTTGTCCGTCACCGCAGTGCGCAAAATAATACACACACACACACACACGCGAGTGTTCTGAAGGGAGAGAGGAACCCCCCCCCCGTAATACCTGCTGTCGTTATAATATTTTATTATCCCTAGATATTATATAATATTAAACATTCATTTTTTCGTATTTCTTGTTTTCTCGCCGACAACGCTGTACTATTATCGTATATAAACTCGAGCCATTATTATTATTATTATAATACTATCGTATCCTCCGGCCGCACGTCATTTATTCGAGAAAAAAACAATATTGTTATTATTTGAACACCACAGACGCCTATGTGTAAAACGACCGGATGCCGGAGACCCCGTACGAGTGAACGGGGAAAAGCAGCTGCGGCGACCATACATTTTACGTCTGCCGAGCGGGCAATACGTACACGTTTTATTGATTAACCCGTGTGAAATATTTGTTTACGCCGTGATAATACTCTGGGACAAATACGCATTATTGTCATAACGCGTAACGCAATATTACCGTAAAGCGTTTCTATATAATAACCGGACGGTGTAACTTTCACGGGGCACACAAATATTTCGCACGGATTGATCTATGCGATTTATTCATGTAGACAATATACATAATGATGAATTAGCTACATTCTATCGGTTAGTTATCGGCGTTTCCGAATCTTTTCGCTCACTCGCCAATAATGTATAGGTACACTGCGTGAACAATTATTCGACAATTATTCTTCCACTGAGTTAATTCGATTATCGTTGATGTCGGTTTTCCACTATAGGCATAGCGACAAAATAGTATTCATCTTCCTTATTCGGAAACGATTTCATCCTGTGCAGTAACGGTTCTTCTACTTGAAACGAGCCGCAGGCGCGAATCTTCGATTTCGTATCAGTCTGATCAAAAATCTATGATATGGATAACACGATACTATGTGTAACTGTATTTCACTGTTAGACCAGACCGGACACTGCGCCAAAGTAGTCAGTGTCCCGAGTGTAAACAAAAAGCTTTAGCCGATCGAAAACAACGACAGGTTTTGGACGAACCGAGAAAGAATAAAACACGGCAAATTTAATCCATGCGATCGGCTGATTCGGACCCGACAAAAATATCGATGACACGGAGACGCCATCAGGACATGTGACGGGTCGGTGACGGTACACGGTATCTGGTCGGAACCAATGACCCGACCAATATACCTGGCCGATCAGACCTTTCGATTTGCATTTGTGGCCCGTTTCTAATAGGGAACTCGTTTAATTCGCTGCCCGCCACGTACGGGAACTGCACACGATGCACGCCATGGCCCAAGTCCATTGTGTATTATCTACGGGGATTTGTCCTCGTCTAATGGGTGTAGAATTTATGTACGTGTGGCGCTACCCGACTCCATAATAGTATTGTCGCTTGCGGGACCTCTGTCGGCGGTCCGGTCGTCTTGCGTACCTAACTATGTTAAAACATTACATTACTATTACACTTGTATTTTATGCAGCGCGTTTTTAAGATTAAAACAAAATAAAATATTACGTGTTATTTGTAAATATCGAAATACTATATTAAATTACAATATATATATATATATATATATCGATTATTATTATTATTATTTATATTTTATGTGTACCTATAAAATACTCTTAGTTATTACACCTGTACTATATAGGTATTATTAGCGTTTTAAAAAAATAAAAAAAAAAACCAATAATACGCGTAAACGGTAATACAATATATTTATCGCGTACGGATTAAAAACGAAATAACCGCTCTCGATAAGTGCATAACGATTTAAAAAAAAATATATATATTCGTATATTTTATGTATTTTGTGCGCCTATATGTATTAGTCGTACGATAAATATTATTATTGAAAACATATAATACATTACTTTATTATACAATGTTGTACGAGGTTTTTTTTTTATTTTTTTTTTTTTATCACTTTGTAGCGAATATCGTTAAAGCGGAAAACATACATGGTACCTGTACGGGTACCTAATATACCGCCGACACTTATTATGGCCCAGTTAAATGTACACGAAGCGGACAAATCGCTGATTAAAACCGAAGTTCGAGGAACCGTTTAAATCCGGATTCCGGATTTTGAACTCTCGTCGGTTTTTAGATTCTCGGCGATGCAGTAAAATGTCATACTTTACACGACGATTGTTATTTGTCAAAATAAATATCGTAGATAAATTTACTTGGATTATTATTTCAATGTGTAAATAGAATATTCGGTTGACGACCGAAAGCGTGTGACCCAATTGGTTTTAGGAGTTTCGTATACTGCTCCAAATAGGATGTCATAAGGAAGTAAGTGTCCCAAAACCTACTAACCATAGTCGACGAAAAGCCGCTACTGATTACGATAATATATTACTCGATTCCATTTTTCGTTGTCCTTTCCCCCGATTTGTATCGTTATCATAATATATTATGTATTTTGATAATAATAAAGTGGTACGCCACTGTTTGACACGCGGCCGCCGGGACCGTTGTAATAAAACGGTTTTTACGACCACGAAACTGACGTCGGAGACGACGATGTAGACGACGACGTTCCGGATATTTATTATACCTGGCGCCAGAGTTTTCCCGAAACGTCGAGCTGATTTCCGTCGGACCGATCCGAAAAAGTAAACTTCGAAAGTCTCCGAAACGATATTATAATAAAATATTAAACGCTATTACTCCGCCGACGACGGGCTAAGACTTCACATTTATTATTACGCTCGGTAACTATTCGCCCTCCCATCCCCCTCCTCTCGCGTATACGTCTCTCTTTTTGTACCCATCGAGTTTTTCCTTTTATGATGGCCAGTTTTATGTATTATTGTAATAATGTTGTACATACTCGAATTTCGGGGACACGGAGTCATGGCCGTTGATAAGGGAATGCGTGGGCGGTTGTTACAGCTCCGCAATTTGAAAAATGTAGACTGCTTAGATTATTGTGAATTCAACGATAATCAGATTTTAAAGTCGTCAAAAAACTAATAAATATTTGACTTTTTTTTTATTTTCATTGGTATTTGACGACGTGTTCATATTATACGTCGTTAAATTATTATCACCTAATTTATTACTTATCGATAGGATTTTTTTTTTCACACACGCATTGAATTTTTGTTAATTGAACATATCATTGTGGAGGAATTCGGTGTTGTTTATTATTGTGATTAAAAAATATATATATATTTCTATGTACAGATTCAGGATGTATAATATCTTCTCATACCGTTTTGACTTAACACAATCGCTTTTCTTTGACCCAACTACTTCTTTCCCTGGTTTTCGTTTACACAGCTAACTCATTTATACGTCAGCGGCTGGCCTCACAACGGTTTTATACAATAATTTTCCTTTTATCCGTTCTCTCGCACTGCCTAATTTAAATAGGTAACTAAAAAGTGTTTGTTATTATGTTACTGTAGACGCCTACGGACATTCCTCTGGTCCTAGGTGGCAAGTTTATAATGACGGTGACCTTTATCCCGTAAAACCACATTTGATTTTTAATGTATCTTCGAATTACCCGAGGAAGTGGGACAAAAATGCCCGCTCTCGCCACCCTCTCCGAACACATATCGTACTAACGGACGGTGCTGTTTCAAACAGTTTTCTCCGATATTCGAGCATTGGTATGTTAACATTGTATAAAGACGTGACGCATTTGTGCTTTGCGCATTCGGCAGCGGTTTCGTTACTCCTCGAGTTCAGACAAAAACTCGCGGTAATTTGTTTCTCCGTTCCATTTTTGCGCGGATCGCCGCCACTCACTTTCGGTCGATGACGCGGACGGGAAGCATATTTACAGACCCTATCCAAGTTCGACCCAAACTCGAAACGTAATCGAGTTGATTTAAGAAAAAAACATAACCCTGGTTGATTAGATTGGGCAATAATATAACTTTTGGTCGGTTGGTCAAAACAACCTGATATACAGACTGTTCTAAGAAAGTCAAGCGTCCTATGCGTAAGCTTATATAAGATCTTTACGGTAATCCAACACTGGTTCGGATGAAACAGAGGGGAATAATTATAAACATTTAAACCATACCTGTTGACAATGCTCCAAGAAAGTGAGTGTTCTCAACTTAAACCGACGTTCTAGTCGATGAAAAACCACGGTGAGTTGCGAATTTACGTAGCGTTTGTGCTGAACTCGGACAGGGACTGTAAATACGCGGCCGGGAAGCGCGAGGATGGCGCTTCCCGCATCCGGTCTTTGTAAACGTTCACCGCCGCCGCAAACACGGTTCGCTATATGACCGCTATACACACATCCGTCCACGTCCGGGGCTATATGCACGACACTATCGTACCGTAATATATTCAAAATTGCATTGATAAAAACAATATAAGTGTGTGCGAGGTGGACACACAGTGGTCAGAAATGGCCAAAATCCTCGAAAAATGGATTTTGGAAATCCAAAATTAGGATCTTTATAAATTTTTTTTTTTTTTTAATTTCTTCAAAAATAATGAACAGTTCACAAATTAGCAAATTTACTTTCGTAAAGCACTGACGTATAGCATGAATAAACGAAAGGTACACCAATTATAATAATACAATGATAGGTAAATCTATATTATCAAAAATCTATATTATATTATAAATCAGCAAAGAATAAATTAATAACAGTTAGGCGCCAAGTATCAATTAATACAGAAATAACGAATTAGTAATGTCACCATGTTGATAAAAATAGAATGGACTTGAGAGGAAGGTAAGCCTCCGAAAATTAATCAGAGCACACCAAAATTAAGCTGTCATCAAGTAAGTATATATACCATAGTCTACAATAAAATGTATTTAATGTCTTTTTGACGTTGTTGTCTGGTAGTATAATATCGGCACGTGTCAAGGCTAGAAATATAAATTCTTTCGAATTTCTTTTCTATAATATCATGCATACTCTTATAATAAACGTATAAAGAAAAAATTGTGTAAAAACAGTTGTTACAAAAAAATTAGTTTTTCAGATACTTATCAGCCAACCTCTTCTCGTGGATTCGAAATTATCCTTTGATACGAGATGACGAGATAGTATTTTGACTATCTACAACCGTGATCCCAACACAAACGTTTTTACAATAGGATTTTGAAAACTCGAGTCCAATTGACAGTGCGCAGACATTTTTCGTTTAGATCGTAGTCAATATTTGATTTTACTCCGAACCGAATTCATAAGTAACTTTGATTGCGAATAAACCCTAGCGCAAAATGTACCGGTCGGGCATACAAAAATATTAGTAACACACTTGATGGGTATAATATTTCGTTAAAACTACATACTGCACAACCGAAACGGAAACTTCGTCGCTAAAACGTGTAATTCGAAGAGGCGTCGACGGTGTATAATCGGACACGGTGTAAAATTCCGATTTCCGGCCGGATAACGTCGTACAATAAAACGTGTGGCGATTTTCGGTTTTCGACACCTACGAGTTTTGGGGCCGACTATCGGAAATCGGTACCCGTTGACGTGACATCCGCTCGTGAAATTTCGCCTTCGTCATGTCACAAACGTTGCGGCGCGACAACGGCGCCACGATTTGATGGACAATTGTTTTTTTACGAAACCGTATGGTTTTACACACGGATGTGCGTTCGGCGAACGTGTCCGCTGTTCCGAAAATATCGGTTTTGTTACGGGGGAAACCGCCGCAACAGAATATACCGCGTTACGCGTTCTCGAACTGCGGTATAATAACAATTACTGTGTTATACACGTTTGTTTTCAGTCTCGTATTATTTTACACAATTTAAATCTGGCAACCCCAGACACTGTTTTTCTTTTTTTTATTATTACCGTTTCCCAATGCTAGTTACAAACGACTATTGCTGTCGTTAACACTTCACATCGTACAGCGCAAGTACGTGTACCTCCTAATATACACGTTTTGTTATTATTGTTTATTTATTTTGTTTCGTAATCGAGTACAATATATTTTCATATTTTTTTAACGTCGTTTAAAACCGTATTTACATTAGATTTTAATCGCGACAATATGATTCCAGTAAATTCGTAATAAATTGTGTTTCGCACACGCACGTGTCCCGTTTATAATGTAGTAATATTTTAATTCGCGTTATTACAACGTTACCCACACAACGTCGGTGATATAGACGTGTGTATGCGCATTAGGGCGGACGACAAAAGAAAAAAAAATAAAAATAAAACAGCGCAACGCGCTAATATTTACAACGTTTTTAATAGTAAAAGTATTACGCATTGTGTACTCGCCCGAGCATAAAAGTGCCCGGCCGAAAGGAATAAAAATATAATAATATCCGCTTACCCGACACCCTCGCATTGCACGTAGGTATACCTATAATACCTATACGCGCAGAGGTGCAGCGTTATTATAACACGCGTTCCGGCGTCGCGTTATTAAAGTCTTATCTAACCTCTTCTAATGGGTGGGGGTGAGCGGGAGAACCGCGTAAATTTATTATGTTCACATAATATTTCAAACCAAAAAGGCCTGCCTACCCGTTAATCTACTGCTGCTGCTACTGCTACAGCTGCTGCTGCTGCGTATAGTCGTCGGGCCGTGTAAACCGATTTTACAATAACGCGTATGTTTTCATATTTTCACGATAAAAACGAATAATGTGTACCTACGCGTTTATGCGGCGGCGACGAGAAAAAAAAAAATGACACACGAGCAGCGAAACTTCCGTCATTAGAGTCGATTTTCGCCCCGGCTGACATGTTGCCGTTACGATATTTTGTGTTGGATTTTTTTATACATAAATAAATCTCTAGAATTTCGCTAACGCATACACAGACGGCAGTGCGAATGTTGGAAATTCAAACCTTTCTATAAGGACACATCCTCATCGGCAACAATTCAATTTACGAATAAATACACATTTCAATCAAGTTACACTCGTGAATCTGTGTAAGTCTGTATTTAAAACCCGGCGTTTTCTGTGAAAACGTGAAATCTTGAGCATAAAAAGACGGACATACTTCGCACGTGGGCGGGCCACTGTTATAGGTGAGAAGATAGAAAGGTAGAAGAGGGGGAATTTAATGTACGCAACGATTAACCATTGCTAAGGAAAAAACGGTTCTGGGCGGAGTTCGGTTGATAGTGTTACATTGTAAACAGTATATGTATATGTTATATTATAGTGAAATAATTACAATAGGCATTAAACATTTTCTTTAATAATAGTGCACCTATTTTCCCGGTCTTTTCAGTTTTTCCATTTGTTAGGAAAATCAAAAAAAATGAATTTTTTTAAATACCGTCCCAATCAGAATTATTTTCAGAAAAAGTGATATCAATGTAAATATGAGCAAAATTGCTACTAGAAAAGTTGTTCACAGATAAAAAAAATGAAAAGAGAAATATCGCTGTAAAATCAATACAATCCTTTTTCCACTCAGAATCTAAAATGGTCGAGGAGAAGGCTAAACGTTGAAACCATCAAAAGGTGCATCCTTAATACTTATACCGTTCATATACGGAATCACAGTTCCTTGGCTTCATTTGAAGGGTCCAAATACCAAATGGAGCGTACAAAGCTAAAAAAAAACACTCTCCTCCCGTAACTACATTGTGAATTTCGTACTGAAAATCTGCCTGTAAATAAAACTCGAACCCTCGCGTTTTATCCAGGGGCGTCTCTAGACTTTGACTATGGGCGAAATAATTAAATTTAACATTAATGATTGATAAGAAAGACGGACATACTTTGCACAATGGGTTGACCACTGATATAGATGAGAAGTTGGGAAAGCGAATATTGAGGGAAATTTAATGTATATCAGTCGTACCTAGGCAAATTAAAGCATTGCCAACAAAAAACGGTTAACAATTTTTAATTTTTAATATCATCGCTTTGGTCAACAAAAACTTAAAACCTTTATGTCTTATGTCATTTTAACTTATATTAGTTTGAAAGACTGCAGATATATTGTACAAATGCAGTAAAACGGTAGAATTTAAAAGTTAAATTAATTTTTTTTCACATTAAATAAATACTAATTAAAATAATGATAATGTGAATAACAAAAATAATAACAATAATAATTAATAAAAGTTAGATGAGCAAATCCAAAATACTTTTATTTTAAGCAAGCGGTTTGATCTACAATCATTTCCATATTAATGTTTTCATTTTGATTAATATTTAAAAGTGATAAGCCAGTTAACCTCTGTTAAATTTTTATTTTGTACCACAAAGAACGACTTTTAATGAACTCATTAAATTCTCAAGTATTTCTGTTTGGTCGAACAATTTTATCCACAGAGTACCTATTGAATACAAATTACGTACAAAACTCGCAAAATGAAAATGTCTATAAATTGTACAAACATGTTACCGCGTCAAGAAAAAGCGAATATAAGTTTTTTGTCCAAATTTCAAGTCTCTACGAATATTTTTATCTAAATTACAATAAAAAAATAAAACTGAAAAAAAAAACCATTATTTTCCCGTTTTTCTTACGTTTATTCTGAATTTTCCTCTTATTATGAAAACTGCTTGGATAATCAAAAAACTACTTTCCCAAAGTACCATTTAGTCAATATGATAATACAGTGAAACCTCCCTTAACGNCCACTTCTAAATAGCGGACGTTTTTTCGGGGACGGGAACATTTTCACTATTTATGTATAGGAAAACCTCTAAATACAGGACACTTTTATGACGTGGATATTAGTTATTTTTATCTTAAATTAAGAATTATTTTGGAATACCTGAATAAAAGCCTGAATTATTAAGTTATCGTATGTGTACATTATTATACTGTATATGAAAATCTTATCTTATCCGTTCAGTCATTGAAATATTATCGCGTCAACGATAATAACGATTATAACTAATGCATTGTCCTATGTGCGTTTAGTTGTGTTTGTGATGCCAACGTTTATTGTATATTATGCCTACGCAATTTACTGGGTGTCTTCATCTTTAAAAAACATTCAACCCGAAACAGTGAAGAAATGCTTTTTGCGGTCCGGCTTTAGGCACCGTAATAACAATGTTACAGAAGGCCATTAGTGTGATGAATATATTAATTCATAGTCCAGCCGCATTTTTAATACATCGTCATGGTAATTTGTTATGCATAGGAAACATAATATTCCTCATCAGGCTATATTTTATGCTTGGGTGAAAATACAGGGTGATTTTAAACGAAGAGAGGATTCTATTGGGTTTTTTTTATTGGATTTTTAATCGACTTCATGGATAAGTAATTAATTTTTTGGTTTTTGTAATGTTTGAGAAAAACCGGAAAAAGACGAAAAATGCGAAGTGATAAATTTACGGCGCTAGGATTTTATTATTTTAAATTTGTAAGCCTATACTGTCTACCAGATATATTGCTCCGATAGAAAAACAAGACATTTTTTTTCTTGCGTTTTAAATCTTGTTCGTGAGTAAAAAGGTCGTTTTTTGTTATTTTCTCTAGTCTTATTAAAAATTGAGCATAATCGAAAAAAAAACGCAGAGAGAACGGGAAATTTTACTAAAATAATTTTTGTATTACTTTAAATTTTGTATTTTGTTTTTTGTTACGAATCTTTACCAAGTTGACTATATTTTAGTTAAAAACCATTCTAGAACCAACCCCACCACATCCCCTTACTGGGTTTGTANAAAAAAAAAAAAAAAAAAAAAACATCACTGTAAATTCAATAAGTACATTTTTCGCTATACATAGAATCTAAAAATTAAATTAAATTAATCATTTTCCAATTTTGGTTCTAAAATATATTATTTTATTATATTTTTGCAAATTGATTGTTCCTACTTATTTTTTCATAATTCTATCACAACCTTCAGAGAATATTTAACGAAATTTATAAATGAGAAGTGTTTCATTCTTGTTTCAATCAAAGTATTTCCAAGATTCAGAATCATCTTTATAGCATTTAGAACCAGTTTTATTTGTACTTAAGAATTATGCATATTTTGTACTAAAAAAAATAACATCACGTGGCTTATGTGGGGAGGCGATCGCCCCCCCACTCAAGGAAGCCCCTGAATCAGAAAAGTATTCGCAGTAAAAAAATCGTATTATCCGTGGCTGACCGAAAAAAACAGTTGCTGTTTATTATTATGAGACGCTCGGTCCGGTGATACCCGATTGAGCACGGTCGTTATTAGCCGACCTTTTTGACGGCCCGATTGAACGCGATAAAATTGCTAATAGGTAACTAACATATAAGTCGAAAAAAAGATTTTGCAATCGATCGATGGGTACCCACGGAAGTTGAAAACAACTGGTATAGGAAACTAGAAGTTTATCTACAACGATTGCACTAAATTGTGATTGACTGTTGTTGCATGACCTACGCTTTAAATAAGACTTGGCCACAATCAGACTATTCTGATTTCAGACTGTTCTATTGTTTCGTGCTCCTTCAAAAATAGTAAGTATTTTTCAAATTTTAAGATTTTTATGATGGAAAATAATGAAATACAAAATTATTTTATCCGAGAGAGATGAAGTTGGCAAATGTTGGAGCTTTTAAGAACTGGTTTATTGGTCCGAGAAAGAAAGGTGAATTGTTGAAACGGCGATGTAAAAAAAAAAAAATGATTGTACAGCTGCTTTCTTCTTTTTTTTAAATTTTTTCATACATTATATTCAGTAATTAGGGGAACAAATTTTAATTGTAACACATACTAAACGAACTCACCAAGCAAACGCTGTCTTAATATGCAATACAATATGATTAAAAACCAATAAAATATTTTTATTTATATGTATTTAATGTTTAAAAGTATTTTGTTTTGTTAATAATAATATTCTACGGCACAAAGTGGCAACGTCGCACCTATTTTCGTGCTCAATCGTGTTTTTTTTTTTTTTTTGAGGTTTTAAGGTTTCTATTGTTTATATGTGACCGTGCTCAATCGGGTTCCAGTCGCTCGGTCGTTAGGCTAAATTTTTTCCACGTATCGAATAAACATCTGAAATATTTCACGAAACGTCGATTCTCTTTTCGCGCAAAAGTACTCTTTGGTGTTTGTCATACGTGATTTTGGTCATAATGGATACATATACTGTAGATACGGTCACAACGGTAATCTTCGGAGTTTCCGTAAGATCTTCGACCAGAGCTGATAACAATTGATACCGTTAATGAACCGTTAATAGCGGACGTCAGCCGTTCGATTGGAATGAAATAAAAACGATAGCCGTCACCGACGGATTACGCGGCTTGTTGTAGTTTTTTTTTTTTTTTTTTTTTCGAAATATCTTTGTCTAATTGTTGAAATTAATACATGATAAAACTTCACGATTGTGTTTCATCTATATTGTACAACTATTATACAACCGTTTCGAATAATCAATACGAACACTCATAGTTTATGATTGTTGTCTTATACACGAAATATTAAACTAATGATTTTATTTATAACAAGCCGAATTACACTATTTATTAAACCTAACTTTATATGTATAACTCGTTATACGTGTAAAATTTTAGCTTTATTCTCTTTTGGAGCAGCCAAAAGTGTCCAAATTATACCGGGAAAAAGATATATAATACAGACACAGTAACAATTCGATAAAACATAGATTTATGGACAAATCTGTCGACGTATATATGCGAGTATAACACCGACCGTATTATCATATCGTAGTGGCCAAACAAATTAAAATGATATAACGGCAAATTTGTGATATGCAACTGGTGTTGTGACTCTCACTGCAGGCAGCGAATTTATCGGTTACGTGTAAGTAGCGTAGAAATCCGAAATATGTTAGAGGTGCAATCGTATCAATTATATTTAGTCGTGATTATTGTTTCGTTAATGAATTATCATTAAATCGTCTCCGACTTTTGGATCTGCGTTGCGTTTTTTGATAAACCCCAGACAGCAATTTTGCAATGTCAATATTTCATGGATATTGGATGTTCGTTGAGAAATTAATATTACAAATTTAAGATTAAATGGACATTGTATTATTATTTAAATTCCAAGTTGAAAATGTATATGTATATCATTATAACACAATATATTGATTATTAAATGTTGGATTGTAACTATGGGTTCAATATTTATACATTGTTGAATATGTAATATAAATTCAATTATATTTAATAATATTGCAAAGACATTGATTTTCATTGAAATTTAAATATTACATTTCTATAATAGCTAACAATATTAAAACGTTGAAAATACAATAATATTCAAATGTTATTGCAGTTATACTCGTTCAACGCCACGGTCGACGGTTGGTTGTCGACATCTTAAACATTACCCTGATCGCTGGTGTCGACTAACCGTCAACATATATATATATTCCTAGTATGCAATTGTTTATAGAATTTGCTAAACAACTTTTAATGATTTTATTAAAAATATTCAAATTATATATGGCATGCATTTAATTTCACATAATGTACACGGATTACTGCATTTGTGTGAAGATTATAATTTATTTGGTCCATTAGACAATGTCAGTTGTTTCCCATTTGGAAATTTTCTTAAAAAATTCAAAGTTATGTTAAGAAAGAATGAACAACCATTAGAGCAAATTATTAAACGGTTTAAAGAACTTGAAAAGAAATTGTACTCTTAACTCAAATGGTATTATTAATAGTAAAAACACAATTGTAAAGAACCACCATAAAAATGGCCCTTTACCAAATTCAATCCAATGATTTCAGTTCACAACATTAATTCTAAAACATAAATTAATCACATTAAAAATAGATTCATAATCTAATTGTTATTTTGGAACATTGGATAATAATGTTGTTCAGGCAATTAATATTGTAAAAGTTATGGATACTGAACAAATTATGGTAGTGGGGAAAATATTTACTGTAAAAAAACTATTATAGATAAAAACAGTAGTTGTATAGATTAAAAGGCAATCTCAAAATACCCTAAAATATCAATCCCACAATATGAATATGAATATGAGCTTCAAAGTCAAGTACATCTGAAATCGGTAAGTTATTGTAAACTGCAGTATATATATATATATTAAAGTAGTCCTGATTTTTTCAATGTGATTTTTTTAATACGGTACACCCTTAATTTGTTAAATTATATGAGTAAGTAACGTAACAGAACAATTAAATTCTAATAATAATTATTTTCATAGCCACCGTGCAACAAATGTTTACGGTATTTTTTCGACAAGTATATATATTTTATAGATTTCAATACACAAGAAAAATCAATTTAGAAAAGTGTATATAATACATTGAATGTTGTTACTATGAAACTTTTCATAAAAACCAATGGACTTACAAGAATTTCATTTAGTTCGTTACATATTTACCATAATGCTATACCTTCTGAATTAAATAAAAAACACAAAATGCCCTCTTTTTCAACTCTAATGCGGCACCAGAACGGGTTGAGTGAGATCTTCCAAATTTTAGCCACATTACTTACTCATATAACTTACAAATAAGGTGGGTACTGTGTTAACTTTTCNCGATTCAGATTATGATAAGGATTACAATCCTTATAATAATAATTTGATATCTCCAGCAATAAGTAGTATAGCTGATTTATCAAATACACAACACCCTATTGATATACAATGCCCTATTGAAACACAGCAGTTTATTGATCACGATACGGATAAAAGCAGACATTTTTAAGACTATAGGTACATAAAAAAAAGTTGGTTTTTGTATTAATAGCTAATAAATATAGTATTCTACTATATATATATTAATGTATTATTTTATAAACAATTTAATTTAATACTACTGGATAATAAATTTATTAATTAGTTATATAATTAGTCCACAACTATTTGGATAATAAACTAATAGAAAATCATGAATTTCGATTACAAATAATATGTATTATTATATAAATAAAGAATAACTTTAGCTAAACAAACATTCATAAAGAAAAACAGTTTATTAACTAGCAAACACCTTAAAATCGAAACGAAGAAAAAATGCATTAAAACATTTGTGTGGAGTGTGTTACTATATGGATGTGAAACTTGGACTATCAGGAAAAAGGAAAAGGACCGCTTAGAAGCAATAGAAATGTGGATTTGGAGAAAAATGAACAAAACATCATGGGTTGAAATCAAAACAAATGAGCAAGTGCTGAAAGATGTAAGCGAAAAAAGGAATATAATAAAACACATACAAAAAAAAGAAAACGAAATTAATAAGACATATTCAGACAAAACACATTTATGAAAAATATCTTCGAAGGAAAGATCTTGGGGAAAAGATCTAGAGGACACCAAAGAACATTATATATCCAAGACCTCAAACATCTCATGTAGGTCACAACATATTCAAAATTGAAAAACATGGCAAATGACAGAGACTTATGACGACCTTTCGACAAGGCGAGAACTTTAGATGATGATGATCAAGATTATATAAATAAAATTATAATCTTAATTCATTGATGATAATATATATATATATATACAATATATGAGTCACGGGGGGGGGGGGAGAGGTTTTAACAACTTAAAACCTTTAACTGCCATTATGTTGAAATTTTTATCTATCAATTATGTTTTAGATACAAGAATTAACAAGGCTATTAGGCATAAATGTCAAAAGGTCAATAAAACGAATTTTTGAAAAGTTTTTCAGCGATAAATTGTTATATGGTTATTTGTTTCTTGATATTCGTACAAAAAAATCATTTTCATCCTTGAATATATGTTCAGTAATTATTGGTATATATATATAATTATTAATATATATATATATAATTTTATTATATAATTTCCTCTTTAGATAAATTTATTTATTTTTGCACAATTTAATAAATTTAATATAATTATTATATATATTATATGAGCATTTTATCATATATAATTTTGTTTTTAGAGGCAATACGAAAGGATTCAATTTTTGGACATATTCAAAATAGGGAAATTGAAGATGTTATACAAAAACACTTGGCACAAAGGCCATTTGTTATCAAAAGAAATGAACATATATCAAAAATTAAATCGAATAGCATGTAAACATCAACATAATCTATTATGAATTAAAAAATATATTATATTAATTGTATATGTTTCACATAAATTGTATATTATTTATTTAAGTTAAATCTAGTTAAATATCAAGTTAAATAATCAAGTTAAATATCTATTTAATATTGGTTTGTTTTAATATCCATATAATATTATTAATATTAATGTTATATTGAAAATTCAATATTAAGTAAATGTTTTTGACCGGCCAAATAAAATTGTCAGGATATTGCATTGATATTTGAAAATATATATACAATCTGCATTCAATATTAATACAATCTCATAATTGAATAATTAATATTGATGCAATCTTAAAGCAATGTTTTTTTGCTGTCCGGGACGTTGGAAATTTCCCTCCTCAGACTTCTCCCATCCCGTCGTCCCTTTAACAAATGCCACCTAGTGTCCTGAAAAACTGCGGTGAAATAGGAAAATCGAAAATTGGACTATGCAATTTTACCGATTACTTATCTGCAAGAGAACGTACGAAAATGAGTCGTATTATATATGAAACTTTTTTTTCGATATATTCTCAGATTTAATTGATCGAGCAGTGTATTTATTTATTTGTTTGTTCTGATTGATCCTCATCCTCCCGAAATGAAAAAAATTCAAGCTGTTCGCGTTGTAACTACTTTGGAAAATGATAGGTTAAACAAAATAGTGTATGTGTATAGGAAAAAAAAAAAAACCCGTGTAAATCGAGCTGGTAGTTTCGGTTATTACCCGCCATGACGGGAAAAAAAACCAAGACGATTTTATTATATAGATTTATATTTTATTTGCTCGGCTATACTGTGGGATTTTCTCTTATGAGATTTCCGGAAAAGCGGTGTGAAATTTGACGTACCTATAAACAGTACAGTCGCAGTCGTAGCAGTCAACGTGTTAAAGCTCTTATAAAAAAATACATCCCTCATTACACGTTATCTTATAGTAGATGTATAAAACGTATATAGAAATTTAAAACGCCATTAATTAGGTCATTAATCCATCATAATCATATTTTAGCAGATTCACCTGAACAGTATTTTAGGAGATCAATTTTTTCGCCATATTTAGACTACCTTTGAAAGTCAATTAATTGAAAGATTTATAAAACACAATTACATTGTTTCCGGTTTGCGAAACTTGCTGCCAAGTTATATAATTAAATTAAATCCAAGTAGCGATGACTTTGAAAAATGCATTGATTCGTACCAAAGCTTCTTACCGACATAATATGATGCTTTTGAATTCGAATTGAAGGTGTTGATAGAAAAATACAAATCGGTACCCAATGAGGAACTCTCAAAAGCTGCAATCGATACTATAGGCGTTATTGCGACGGACCATTATCCATTTGAAGTTTACTGTATAGTATCCATACTTGCAATACTCCTAGTGTCAACATAAGGCAGTATACTTTTTCAGCAGTATGTTCATTTTTAACTTTAAGACAAATAAAAACCTATTGGAGGAATAGTTATAATAAAGATCCGATGTATCCCAATAAATATAGAAGAAATAATCAATATACTTTCTAAAATACCACACAAGGTTACCTTTGCTTTAAAACTGTATTGAACCATTTTTTTTGTTGCATTAAAGTTATAGTGTGTAACACAAACTTTGTATACGAGTATATTGTTATATATTTTGTACTGTGAAATATTATCATTAAAATAAAAATATCATTATGTACGTTTAGTGTGTGCGTATAACAAATATTTTAAACAAGTCCTCTCTAATCCACCAATAACTAGAAAACATTTGCTATTTTAAACCAACCATAAAGTTGACGATCGAATCGAAATGTCTAATAGAAAATTTGTACAGATAAAACCCCAAATAAAACCAGGGGATATAATTTTGTGTACATCAATAGTATAAGTATCAAGGATGTGCTTTTCGAGGTTTTTAACATCGATTTCCTCCCAAACTTTTTTTATGCTCACATTACACGTTCATACGGAAAATAATTGATTTTGAATAACATTTTCGATTAAAATGTAATCAAAATTGCAAATATTTTTAGTAGGAAGAGAAATGAGTGTTTAAAAAACTTTCGAGTTAAGAGTATTTTGTCGAAATCCCCTTGTTTACCCGAGTGCAGTTCGGCGATTACTTGTGTTTGATCGGAATGCAGTTTGACCTTATCTGGTATTTAATCTCGGTCGAGTGAAAAAAAAAAATAATAAACCCAAATTTATTTTATACCGTTTATTCTGTATCATTTAACGGAAAAAAGTTAACAATTCCCTTTTTGGTTTTCGAAAAAGTCCAATATATCGGTAAAACGGTAAGTTACATAATTATGCGTACATAAAAATCGAATATTATATTACGGCACGCCGATCAAACATTCGAGATTTATAACAATATTATTTATTCGGTCGTCACGGGTACCTAACGCGGAAAATTTGTATACAGCG